AGACTAAGAAATGCGAGTTGGATCCCTGGGTTGGGACGATCTCCTGGAGAAGGGCATGGCAACCCACTCCAGTATTCTTGCCTGGAGAATCCGATGGACAGAGGAGCCTGATGGGCTACAGTCTATGGGGTCACATAGAATCAGACACAACTGAGCGGCTAACACTTTCAGATTTTCACTTTCACTTTTCACAAAAGGGCAGAAATGAGTTCCAGCCAGAGGACTTAGAAGGTGCAAAGGCCAGGGGGTAGGAAAGTTGAGTCAAATAAGTTCAACGGACTCACTTGGGTGATTAAATGAGCTAAGCCACCCGAAGTGCCCTGTACACATTGAGTGCTACATAAAGGCCAGCAGTTATACTTACTGCACACCAGTGTGCACACATCCAGGGTCTACCAACCTGGGCGTATCAGTGGTAGAGTAATATTCTCTCCTCCTGACAACACAGGCAATAACCTCAAGCCTTGCTTACAGCTCTAGTGAGCTGTAATGGACAGGCAAGAAACCACACACATTTGAAGTATACAGTTCGATGAGTTTTCATGTGCACACACACTCTGTAAGGTCATCAACACAGCTCAGATAGTGAATGTATCCATTCCACCCAAGTTTCCACATGGGGACATCCTGGGTGGCGCCATGGTGAAGAATCTGCCTCGAAATACAGGGAACTCGGGATTTGATCCCTGGTCTGGGAAGATCTCACATCCCTCAGGGCAACTAAGTCAACTAAAGAAAAAAAGATGGGGAATCTGAAATTTTGAACAATTTTACATGTTTACCTAAAATTTTTCCACATGAGCCTTTGTAATCCCTACCTCTGTACTCAGCCCCACCCCGACAGTGCCCAGGCACTCACTCACCTTCTCTCGGTTACTATAAATTAGTCGATACTTTCCAGAGTTGTATATAAATGAAATCTTAGAGTATGTTCTCTTTTTTTTCATCTGGTTTCTTCATTCAGTGTAATAATTTTTTATTGAAATGAAATTCACCAAATGGAAACCATTTTCTTTTTTTTTTTTCATTTATTTTTATTAGTTGGAGGCTAATTACTTTATAATATTGTAGTGGTTTTTGTCATACATTGAAATGAATTAGCCATGGATTTACATGTATTCCCCATCCCGATCCCCTCCTCCCACCTCCCTCTCCACCCGATCCCTCTGGGTCTTCCCAGTGCACCAGGCCCTGAGCACCTGTCTCATGCATCCAACCTGGGCTGGTGATCTGTTTCACCCTAGATAATATACATGTTTTGATGCTGTTCTCTTGAAACATCCCACCCTCGCCTTCTCCCACAGAGTCCAAAAGTCTGTTCTATACATCTGTGTCTCTTTTTCTGTTTTGCATATAGGGTTGTCGTTACCATCTTTCTAAATTCCATATATATGTGTTAGTATACTGTAATGGTCTTTATCTTTCTGGCTTACTTCACTCTGTATAATGGGCTCCAGTTTCATCCATCTCATTAGAACTGATTCAAATGAATTCTTTTTAATGGCTGAGTAATATTCCATGGTGTATATGTACCACAGCTTCCTTATCCACTCGTCTGCTGATGGGCATCTAGGTTGCTTCCATGTCCTGGCTATTATAAACAGTGCTGCGATGAACAATGGGGTGCACGTGTCTCTTTCAGATCTGGTTTCCTCGGTGTGTATGCCCAGAAGTGGGATTGCTAGGTCATATGGCAGTTCTATTTCCAGTTTTTTAAGAAATCTCCACACTGTTTTCCATAGCGGCTGTACTAGTTTGCATTCCCACCAGCAGTGTAAGAGGGTTCCCTTTTCTCCACACCCTCTCCAGCATTTATTGCTTGTAGACTTTTGGATAGCAGCCATCCTGACTGGAGTGTAATGGTACCTCATTGTGGTTTTGATTTGCATTTCTCTGATAATGAGTGATGTTGAGCATCTTTTCATGTGTTTTTTAGCCATCTGTATGTCTTCCTTGGAGAAATGTCTGTTTAGTTCTTCGGCCCAGTTTTTGATTGGTTCATTTATCTTTCTGGAGTTGAGCTGGAGGAGTTGCTCGTATATTTTTGAGATTAATCCTTTGTCTGTTGTTTCACTTGCTATTATTTTCTCCCAATCTGAGGGCTGTCTTTTCACCTTGCTTATAGTTTCCTTTGTTGTGCAAAAGCTTTTAAGTTTCATTAGATCCCATTTGTTTATTTTTGCTTTTGTTTCTAATATTCTGGGATGTGGGTCATAGAGGATCCTGCTGTGATTTATGTTGGAGAGTGTTTTGCCTATGTTCTCCTCTAGGAGTTTTATAGTTTATGGTCTCACATTTAGATCTTTAATCCATTTTGAGTTTATTTTTGTGTATGGTGTTAGAAAGAAAAATATGGAACACTTCACGAATTTGCGTGTCATCCTTGCGCAGGAGCCATGCTAATCTTCTCTGTATCGTTCCAATTTTAGTATATGTGCTGCCGAAGCGAGCACTGGAAACCATTTTCAAGTGAACAATTCCGTGGCATTTAGTTCAGTCACAAAGTTGTATGACCACCACCTAGATAGTCCTAAAACGCTTTCATCGCTTCCAAATAAAACTCTACTTATTAAGAGGTTGCTCCCAATTCCCCCATCCCCTAAGCCCTGGAAACCACCAGTTACGTCTCAGTGGAGTTACTTATTCTAACTATTTCATATCAGTGAATCATACAATATGTGACTTTTTGTGTTTGGCTTCTTCCAGAAATGGCTACCTACTCCAGTATTCTTGCCTGGAGAATTCCATGGACAGAAGAGCCTCATGGGCTTCCGTCTATGGGGCTGCAAAAGAGTCCAACACAACTGAGCAACTAACAACAACAGCAACAACCTTACGGGCCTCTTTGCCCCCCTTCCTTCTTCCTCCAGGGACATTGCTCCAGTATGCACACAACTCCAGAGGGTGCCATTCACACAGCAACACAACCCATACAGGTGTAGTGATGGCTCCCTTGTACCTTTCCTTCCTGCCTCCCTCTCTCCCATCTTTCAATAAGTATTTACTGCGCGTCTAGGCTCTGCCATGTTAATGGTGGAGACACTGTGGCAGACGACCGGAACATGCCTCTGTCGATGGAGCAGAGTTGAAACCTGCAAAACAGAGGCTTCCCTAGTGGCTCAGTGGTAAATCTTCTCTGTCAATCAGGAGATGTGGGTTCGATCCCTGATCCGGGAAGACTACACATGCCTCGAAGCAACTAAGGCTGTGTGCTGCAACTATTGAGTCTATGCTCTAGATACTGGGAACTGCAATTATTGAGCCCACGGGCCCCAACCACTGAACCTGTGCACCCTAGCACCCATGCTCCACAACAAGAGAAGTCCCCGCAATGAGCAGCCCACACACTGCAACTAGAGAGTAGCCCCTGCTTTCTGCAACTAGAAAAAAGCCTGCACAGCTACAAAGACCCAGGGTAGCCAAAAATATAAATAAACAAAATTATTTTTCAGTTAGTCAGTTCAGTCGCTCTCTCTGTGACCCCATGAACCGCAGCTCGCCAGGCCTCCTGTCCATCACTTGCACACGCAGAGAAAAATAGAACATATAAGGATGTTGAAATAAATGTGTAATTGCAACTTTCACATTCATTTCTTTCTCCTCTACTGTTGTTCTCACTCTTTTCTCCATTTCCCCTCTCTTTCTCACACACTCACATCTGGCCTCTGCAGTTACGGATAGACACCTCCTATTCTTCCCTGTCTCTTCCTACCCAGCATGCTAGAGCTGGTTTGTGCAGGTTTGCAAAAGCCAATTGTTAAAAATTTAGGAATTTTTTGAGCTGGTTGTTAAAATGATTGGTAGCTTAAAACCAGACAGGATAAGAGAATTTACACCACAGAAATAGGCTGATGTTATGATGCTGTTTTTCTGAAAAGCTGATCTTCTGGCACACCACTCTTCCATCTATTTCTAGCAAAGACACTTTGATTTGCCAAGGAATATCCTAATTCTTTGATAGATATTCAGTCTCCACCACCGCCTGTCCCCTCCCACCGCTCCCCCCACCCCTTTCCTCACCTCCCTCCTGGGTGGTGGGAATGCGGAGGTTCTAGAACCTGTGTTGTGCTGAGAGTGGAAAGAAGAGAAGAAGAGAAAGCATGAAGGAAGTTCGTGAAAAAGAGAATAAAAAGGACAGCGGTGTAGGAAGGTGGTGCTAGTGGTAAAGAACCCGTCTGCCAGTGCGGGAGACATAAGAGACATGGGTTTGATCCCTGGGTTGGGAAGATTCCCCTGGAGGAGGGCATGGCAACCCACTCCAGTATTCTTGCCTGGAGAATCCCATGGACAGAGGAGCCTGGCGGGCTACAGTTCATGGGGTCACAAAGGGTCAGACATGACTGAGCGACCCACACGCACACAGGAAGGAAAGAGAAGCAGGAATCCATGGGGGGGCAAGGGTTCAGGTAGGGGCAGCATAAGGACCAGGCAAGACTCACCGCGCAGTGTCCTCACAGGCAGTTGGGTCATTTCCCCATCTCGGGCCAGAAGGTGGCCAAGCTGCTAGGAGATGAGGAAACCGCCTTCTTAAACTACCCTGAAACAGGGTGGGGGTGGGGACCCACAGAGCTGGGCTCTGCAGGAAAGAGGGCTGGGGGCCTGGACCAGTGAGGTCTAGGGGCTAGGATGCCTCAGTCTCTAACCGTTAAGAGGGGCTGCGGGCCCAGACTCTTGGGTCAGAGGGGAAGCGGAGGCCTGAATCCTGGGTCTGAGGGAGGAGGGGCTGGGGGCCTGGACTCCTGGGTCTAGGGAAGGAAGGAGGACACAGGTTCTTCCCCCTGCCGGTCCTCCCACCCTCGTCCTCCCCCCACATCCTCACCCTACTCACCTCACCCCACCCCAACACCTTAAAGCTATGGAGACTCAGCGGGAGGCCCAGGCCTCGTTTAGCAAGACCCTGTCCTCCCCACCCTTTCCTGGACTACCTTGGGTGTGACAAGATATAAAAGTGCTGTTTCCTAGGTGAAAGAGTGGGAACAAGCATTCCCGCCACCCAGACCATGAGTCCTGCCCTGATGCTGGCCCTGCTGGGCATCACCCTCGCCCTGCCCGGTAAGTGAGATTCCCGGCCAGGGAGGGGATCCACCTGGAAGCTGAGCTCAGATGGATTTGCTCCTCCCATTTCAGGAGCGAGAGCCCTGGACTGCTACTTTGGGGGAGCGGAGACCGTGCGGAATGTATCGGAACAGCCCTTGCAGTGGACGACTTCCCAGAAGAACTGTGGCGAAGGTTTGGGCTGCCAGGAAACGGTGATGATCGCCCAGAATGGTGAGACGGGCCCGCTCCTGACTTGCAGCCTCTCTCTTGGAGAGACGCCCCTATCACCCCACCCTCCAGTCCTACCTGCGTTCTGTGTACAAACTCAGAAGACCACTCCCCGAAATACCAGGAGCGGCGCCCACCTTAGCCGCCCAGGGGCCTCCTCTGCACCTTCGGGATGCACACCCTCCCTCTGTGACCCTGGAGCCCTGAGCCCACCCTGGCCTGCTTCTGTCTCCGTGCAGAACTCTCCCTGTATCTGGTGCTCCTCAAGGGCTGCACCCAGGCCGCCAATCAGGAGGCCCGCGTCACCGAACACACTACAGGCCCCGGCCTGTCCATCATCTCCTACACGCGGGTATGCCGGGAGAATCTATGCAACGATCTCGCCACCAGCCTCCCTCTCTGGACCCCGAGCCCACCCAAAGGTGCCGGAGGTGGGGGGAGAAAGGGACTGCCCGGAGGAGGGGGGCAATGGGGTTGAGGAGTTGGGGTGAGCACACAGGCAATGTTCTTTTAGAATCCCTCCCAGCCTCCCCTCAACCCCGTCCAGCCTCCCCAGCAGGCCCTCCCCAGCACAGCCTCTTCTAACAGCCCCTTAGCAGTACACTGGACTGATGTTCCCTCATGTTTGACCACCCACCTCCGACTGCGGCTCTGGCCCTAACCTGCTGCCCACTCCTTCTTTTTCCCCTGGGGTTTGGGAACTTGCGCGTCGGGGTTTCGGCATCTCCTCTTCAGAACTGAAATTGACCTGTGGTTTCCCATTGTCCGCTTCTGTCTGAGATCGTAAATCGGATTTCCCTCTGCCCTTTGCATTTCTCTACTCTTGGGCATCGCCGGACATGTGCATCTCGACTTCTTCCACGGTTCAGTGGAGCCGCTGGGTCCTACAAGGACCCCAAGCACCCCTCCGCTCCCCTTACCAGGCAGCCCTCCGCAGATCTCACGCTCCCTCCCCACCTTGGCCTCTCTCTGGTCACGGGTCCTAATGCCCTGCTCCCCAGACCTTCCTGAGAGGAGCCCAGGGAGATTAAGGGAGCTGATTCTTGGGAGCTGCGAAAAGCCGAAAAGCCGAGGAGGGTGGAGGGAAGGCGCCTGGCCTGAATTCAGAGCCCCCTTATTCCTCCCTCCCTTTGTCTCTCACCTCTCCAGTCCCGGGTTCTGTGCGGTGTCCAGCCTGCTTGTCTACAGAAAGCTGTCTGTCGGCCCCAGAGCTGACCTGCCCGGCCGAGAGCTCACACTGCTACAGTGGGGTCCTCCACCTCACCGCTGGTGAGCCACCGGGAGGTGGGGTCGGGGCCAGGGTTGGGAGAGGCGGGGGTGGCTGGGGGTGAGGGCTGAGGCTCAGAATCTGAATCTCTTGGGGAGGAAAGGGAGGTGAGGATGGGAACCCTGAGGAGGGCGGGCCTGGCTTCCCCCTGAGTGTTGGCTGGTCCCAGTAACTGTGTCTCCACCTTCTCCCACTTTCCAGGGGGCGGCACCACCAGACTCCAAGTCCAAGGATGCATTTCTCAACCAGGCTGCAACCTGCTGAATGGAACCCAGGAAGTTGGGCCCATCAGCCTGCAGGAGACTTGCTATCCTCAAGGTGAATGTCACAGCAACAAGACCGAGTGCCAGGGGCGGAAGTTCTGGGGTATAATAACCCTGCGAAAGGCAGGCATCCAAACATATCCCACCAAAACCAGCATCACAGGTCGTTCAGATGTTACTACTCACTCAGGCAGGTGTGATGGGAGGGATTCTCCCAGTAGGCACTTCGGGCGAGGATGCCAGGAAACAGAGAAGGTACGTGGTCCAGGGAACAGATCTATAGGACAGGAGATCTATAGGACAGGTGTTTTTAATGATGCTGAGCCTGGCTCAGTTAGGACAGCCTGTCTGGGTGGGAGAGCTAGGGAGCTGGGAGGAAGGTCAGAGAAGCAAAGAGGGTGAGCCACATCGAATGCCACTCTATCCATTGGCTGCAGGAGTGCCTGCTGGTTTCCCTGCTGGCAGTGACTAGCTGCTTCTGATTCCATTTCTCCACCTCCCTGACTTTGGGGTCTCTGGCTTCCCCTTGACCCCCACCCCCACTCTGGCATCCCACCCTCACCTAACCCCCACTCTTGGTACCGGAGGGCCCAGCAGCCCTGCTGCAGAGAAAAAGTGATCAGAAGGATGTCAAGGGTGCTTCGGGTGCGATCGGGAAAGTAAGAGCCAAAGGAGGACACGGGGAGGGTTCCCACTCGCCCATGGAAACCCAGTCCAGGTGGAACACCAGTGGATGAGAGTGGCCTGGAGTGTCCTGATGTTGGGGAGCAGGATGAGGAGAGGGGTGGGGCACGGAGGGAAGTGGGGTCTGGAGAAAGTGGGAGGAGGGTCCTCCCTGACCAAGCTTCGGGCGGAGAATTGAGTGAGTTCAGCAAACGTTCCTGTTTGGATCTCTCTGGCTGGACTGGGAGCTTTGAGGACAGAACCCAGATGTTCCTGACACCAAGGTTTTCAGCCTCGGGCAGCACAAGGGCTGGGTAAGGATGGGTTCCCCAGGATGTGTTTGCTGACAGGAGTTCATACAGCATTCCAAGGTTTCCCTGACTCAGGGAGAGGACTCAGGTCAGAGGACTCAGACCCTGGCCCTGCCCTAAAGGGTCTCTGGGACTGGGAACAGAGATATCACAGACACAGGTAGCCATGAGGCTGTCATGAAGGGGGCCTGGGGGAGCTCAGAGGAAGAAGATACTGATGTTCTGGGAGGGGGAATTCAGGGAGGACTTCACAGAGGAGGTGACCTATGACCCATGTCTTAATGATGAGCTGCAGTTCACGCATAGAAGAGGAAAAGGGCACAAACAGGCAGAGAGACAGTGTGGGCAAAGGCTTGGAGGTGGGGGCAGCCCGCTGTTTTCAAGAAGACTCCCTGGGCTCTGCCTGAGTAGGGCTCATGGCGAGGATGAGGTACAGCGGGGAGCGGTGAGCAAAGACAAGTTTTCCAGATGGACAAGGTGAGTGTGGGTGGTGAAGGCAGAGCCCTTCCAAGCAGAAGGAACGTCCTGCTGTGTCTTGGGAATGGATGTTGGTGGGGGAGCTGAGGGGTAGGTGGGGGTCCTGGTGGTGGGTCAGATATCTCCCTAGCCAGACTGATGGGGCTAGCCTTTCTGCTAAAGGCAGGGGAGCCATGATCAGGGAGGGACAGAGTCGGAATCTTTTTTTTTAATTAATGCTAGTTTACTTATTCGGCCCTCATCTCTGGGACTAGCAGGAATATTAGGTAACATAATCCAGCAGACATTCAGAAACAAATCAGACACATGTCACATGCACCACACAACACACGATACACACGAGAGACACAACCATGCACTACATATTCCATGTACACACCACACACTACACACCACACACCTGTTTCCTCACCCCTCACACATCCCCCCCACACCACAGACGTCACACACCACACAGCACCACACGCCACACCCAGCACACGCCCAACACCCAACACACACACACAGCACAGACACGCAGGACACGCACACACTCATACGACACACACCACACACATCACCACACTCTACCACTGTACACACACACCACACATCACATACCAGACACGCACCACACACATTTCACACATTCCCATGCTACCCCACACCCTCCACAGGCCTGCTACATACTCACACACCCCATGCATATCCCACATATGTGTGCTGCCCAAACCACACATGTGTTACATAAAACACAGCCATTATGCCACAAATGGATATTCCTCATATATGTCCCTATTTTGTTGGCTTTCCACATCAGAGCCAGATCTTTTTTGAAAGTTGTTTATTTATTGATTGATATATGTGGCTGCACTGGGTCTTAGTTGAGACATGTGAACTCTTATTTGTGGCGTGTGAGGTCTAGTCCCTGCCCAGGGATTGAACCCGGGCCCCCTGCAATGGGAGTGTGGCGTCTTAGCCACTGGACCAAAAGGGGGCTAGGGTGGAGCAAGATGTCAGGGAGGAAGTGCAGAACAGAAAGACATCCCAGGGACAGAGAACAGCTCCTGGAAGGCATGGGGGCAGGAGAGGACTGGGTGCAAAATGGGCCGCCTCAGGAGCCCAGACTGAAGAAGGACCAAAGGTCCAGGATTTCAACAGCCTTGACTGTCCCCCTAAGGACTGGATCGTGGTTCCAGCTAGAGCAGTGGGTCGGCCGAGCCCGGGAGAGCGCAGCCGTTAAGAGCTTAGCATCTGAATGGAAAGACATGGGTTTCATTCTGGGCTTTGCCACTGAACCAGCTTTTGAGGATTACCACTGCTCAGAGCCTCTCTCACTAAGTCCAGGGAGGAGGAGACGCTCACTGATGCCACCTCTGAAGGTGGCAGAGCATATGCAAAGGCCCTGGGGCAGGCGTGTGCCTCCACGTGTGGTTCAGAGAAGACCAGAAGTCAGTGGGACTCCAGCAGAGTGATCAACCGGGAGCAGAGCAGGATGGGAGGACAGTGCAGGGGAGGGAGGGCAACTCAGGTAGAGCCTTTGGGGCCATTTTAAGGACTTAGAATTTTATTCTGAATGGGCTGAGGATCTACTGGAGTTTTCTGAGCAAAGGATCGATGTGAATCAACCTTTCTTTTATGGGCATCATTCTGAATGCCTGGTGGAGAATAGAGTAAAGGGGAAGGGGATATGGGGGAGGGGACCCTCCAGGGAGACTCAGGAAGAAGCAGGTGAGAACCAAGGGGTCTTAGACCCTGGTGGCAGCCATGAAGGAGGTGAGAAGTGGTCAGGCTGGGGAGGGATTTTGCAGCTTCAGTGGACAGGATTTCCTGATGGGCGCAACATGGGGTGTAAGAGAGTAGGGATTGTCGAGAATAACAGCAATGTCTTCAACTTGAGCAACTGCAAGAAAGAAGGTGCCATTGGCCAAGACAGGAAAGATGGAGGTAGGCAGAGCGGGAACCAGGCTGGGAGGGAGCCTGCAGGAGCGGGGGAATGAGTCATCCTCCTTCATGGGGGCTGTTGTGAAAGTTAACACATTTGTGGGTTACTTGCACAGTCAGCCCTGGGGGTTTCTGCATCAGGAGACACATCCCAGCTGATCGTATAATGGTCTCAAGAGACGGTCTAATGGTTTTCAAACTAGACTGCTGAGGGCTACAGGGCCTGAGGTGACCCAGGATGGTCATCAGTCCTCCTCTTCCCCATCACTCCCTGCAAGGAGCCAGAATAATGCCTGAGTTCCCAATCTAGCTCCTAACTCATTCGTAGTGGGACATTGGGCAAGCTGCTTTCAAAACTCCCCTGTTTCTCACTTTGAAAATGGGGGTGATACTCTGGTTTCTTTTCAGATCGAATAAATCTTTCGCCCCTTGAAAATGGGGGTGATGATGATGACAACCTGTTTGGGGTAGGGGGGTGCCAGGAGGAAATGAAGCAATCCAGGTGAGATGAGCTTCTGGGGAGGGTTCATCCTTGGAAACAGATCACGGCGGCTGGGCACCTTTTACATGTTCAGTGCACACAAGGCATTTGAGTATTTCTTTAGAACATAGAGTTGCTCAGTGAAGACATAGATGGTGTCAGGCTACTTTCCTGTTTATCTAGATAAGGACCCTGAGGCCCAGAGAGGGACGTAGAGATTGACTCAGGCTAAGGAAGAGCCATCTGTCTCCATCACAGCTGAGGGAGAGAGCAGCTGTCCTCAAGGGGGCATTGAGAAAGGCCCCTGTAGTGTGCTTGAGCAGAAACAGGGTAAAGAATGAGGATGGGGCTCAGACTTCCAAAATGAAAGAAGTGAAAGTGTTAGTCACTCCGTCGTGTCTGATTCTTCTGCAATCCCATGGACTGTAGCCAGGCTCCTCTGTCCATGGGATTCTCCAGGCAAGAATACTGGAGTGGGTGGCCATTCTCTTCTCTAGGGGATCCTCCTGACCCAGGGATTGAATCTGGATGTCCCACACTGCAGGCAGATTGTTTATTATCTGAGCCACCAGGGAAGCCCTGAAGGTCCCTTGTAAATCTGATGTTGAGGGACCCAGTGGCCCAACGGGCTTGCAGGGTGGCTCAAGAATGTGAGCATCTTCCCAAGCAGAGGACCAAGAAGGAAGGCACATGGCAGGTCCCTGGCTCCCACAGACCCTGGTGATTCTTTCTCCGCAGGCAATCTGACCTGTCATCGGGGGGTCATGCTGCGGATGTCTGCAAGCCTGAGCCAGGACCCTGTCAAGTGGTCCACACCTGCGGAGCAGCAGTGTAACCCTGGGGAGGTGTGTCAGGAGACCCTTCTGCTCATAGATGTAGGTACGTGGGCTGTGCAAGAGGACAAGACCCCTGCCTGGGGTCCTGCCTTGGATTTTTAAAAAATTGATTAATTTATTTTAACTGGAGGCTAATTACTTTACAATATTGTAGTGGTTTTTGCCATACATTGACATGAATCAGCCATGGGTGTACCTGTGTTCCCCATCCTGAACCTCCCTCCCACCTCCCTCCCCATCCCATCCCTCCAGGTCATCCCAGTGCACCAGCCCTGAGCACCCTGTCTCATGCATTGAACCGGGACTGGCGATCTGTTTCACATATGATAATATACATGTTTCCATGCTATTCTCTCAGATCATCCCACCCTCACCTTCTCTCACAGAGTCCAAGTCTGTTCTTTACATCTGTGTCTCTTTTGCTATCTCACATATAGGGTCATCATTACCATCTTTCTAAATTCCATATATATGCGTTAATATACTGTATTGTTGTTTTTCTTTCTGACTTACTTCACTCTGTATAATAGGCTCCAGTTTTATCCACCTCGTTAGAACTGATTCAAATGCATTCTTTTTAATAGCTGAGTAATATTCCATTGTGTATATGTACCACAGCTTTCTTATCCACTTGTCTGCTGATGGACATCTAGGTTGCTTCCATGTCCTGGCTGTTGTAAATAGTGCTGCGATGAACACTGGGGTGCACATGTCTCTTTCAATTCTGGTTTCCTCGGTGTGTATGCCCAGCAATGGGTTCTATCCTGCCTTGGATTTTTAAAAAATACTTATCTGTTTATTTTTGGCTGTTCTGGATCTTCGTTGCTGCATGGGCTTTTCTCTAGTTGTGGAGAGCAAGGGTTACTCTCTAGTTGCCGTGCTTCGGCTTCTCATTGCTCTCTTGTTGGGGACCACAGGCTCTAGGGTGTGCGGGCTTCAGTAGTTGAGGCTCACAGGCTTAGTTGCCCCGCGGCTTGTGGGATCTTCCTGGACCAGGGATTGAACCCGTGTCCCCTACATTGCAAGGAATCCTCCTTAAGTGGTTAAGGAATTTTAACCACTGGAGCACCAGGGAAGCCCCCTGCCCTGGATTCTGTGCACTAAATTTCCTGCCACAGTCCCTTCAGGCAATTCTAAACCCAATTCTTCCTCTATCTGTGCTTTGGTTTCCCCTTCTGAAAACGGGGAAAAGACGATGGCAGTAATAGTAATCTACTTCACAGGGTGGTCACTAGGATATAGCCGGCAGTCCAGGCAAAGGGCTGAGAACAGAGCCGGCACAGAGAAAGCTTTGCTGTCACTTCAGTCCTGTCCGACTCTTAACTCATTTCATTCAAAGTCTAAGGAGCTGCTGTTATGTGTCAGGCAGTGTTTTAGGTGCAGTAGATCCCGTTACATTTGCCTTCTTGTAGCTTTACAGGCCAGTGGGAAGCTGCAGGCAAAACAAAAGAGTAAGATATCATGTATGAAGATAAGAGCTGTGGACAGAAGTCCAGTGGGGATGGGAGAACAGGAGAATGATGTGAAGGTTGCAATTTGTGCTCTGAAGACTCCCTGTCAACTAAAAAAACCCCGAACCTAAAATTTTAGTTATTTATTCGGTGGGAATGTTATACACATTTGCAGCAAGTGGCAGGTAATCTGAATATGAAAAGATTACTGTTAATTAAGAGAAAACGAAATCTCTTACATGAAGAGATTTAACAATCTTCTATCTTCTTTGGGAAGATGCAAGTGTCCAGTCTTGCTGAAATCATTTCCTTCATATTTGTGGTTGTCGCTCAGTTGTGTCCGACTCTTTGCAACCCCATGAACTGCAGCAGCACACCAGGCTTCCCTGTCCTTTATTATCTCCCAGAGTTTGCTCAAACTCATGTCCATTGAGTCGGTGATGCCATCAAACCATCTCATGCTCTGTCACCTCCTTCTCCTCCAGCCCTCAATCTTTCCCAGCATCAGAGTCTTTTCTAGTGAGTCGGCTCTGTATCAGGTCCCCAAGAGTATTGGAGCTTCATATGCATCTAGCTATCTGGGGCCAGTCCTGCTTTCTTTATTGTTCACAAACTAATTTCTTGTTTATCGTAAGAGATGGCAAATGTGGTGGATGGCTGGCTCTTTCTCTCTCTCTCTCTCTCTCTCTCTCTCTCTCACACACACACACACACACACACACATGTGGCACACACACACTCCCCCAGCTCCTCAGTGCTTTCAGTGGGGAGGAAGTAGCTGCTGGCTTCCAAATACATGGCTTTGTTTCACCTGGGCTCAGAAATTTGCATTACACACACGCACATTTGCATTACACACACACACACACACACACACACTCACACAGCTCCTGCTGGCTTCCAAAAACCTGGCTTTGTTTCATCTGGGTTCAGAAATTTGCATTTGAAAAAGGCGTGTTGACTGGTAGGGCGTAGAGCAGAAAACATTTCATTTCCGACGGGAAATTCAGAGGACGTTCTACTCCGAAGGTGACATTTGAGCCAGAAATGAGGGGCGACAGAGCTGGGGGAGGACCCCGACTCTGGCCCCAGGCTTCCCCATGCCCCAGTCGTCTCATGTACCTGTCCCCTGACTGACGAGCCCATGACTCTGCCACCCTTGGGGCCTCCCCTCTCGCCGCCCAGCTTTCTCTCTCTCACCCCTCAGGACACAGGTCGATCCTGCTGGGGAGCAAAGGCTGCAGCCAGATCAGGACCCCGGCTACCACCATCCACTCGAGGCCCCCCGGAGTGCTGGTCGCCTCCTATGCTCGGGTCTGCTCCTCCGACTACTGCAATTCGGCCGCCAGCAGCAGCGTCCTGGTCAACGCCCTCCCTCGTCCAGGTGTGTGATGCCAGCAGGCTGGGTGGGGACCAGGGTAGGGAAAGACGGGGCCCCAGAGACACATCTCTGGGCTCAAGGGGGTGGCCGCGGCTAAGTGCAGGGCTGTGTGTTCCCAACCTTCTCTCTGCTCCCCAGCCGCCCCGGCCCCAGGACACCTGCAATGTCCCAGCTGTCTGGTCCTTGGATCCTGCTCAGAAAGCTCTAACGTTGTGACGTGTCCTCAGGGCACCAGTCACTGTTACAAGGGTCAAATTTTTCTCTCGGGAGGTGAGTGCCGAAGGTCAGGTCCTGAGGAGGAAGGGGCTGGGGGCCTGGATTCACGGGGTCCCGAGGTGGGAGAGTGCTTGAGACCCTGGTGTTGTGGTCTGTGTGCGGGTTGAAAAAGGATTTCCAGATATGAGGCAGAACGAGAGGAAAATAAAGTTTAATAGAGTGGGAAAACCAAACAGTGGGCTGGCTCAAGGGAGTGCCAAACCCCTTCTCAGGATAGCAACCAATTTTTACAGCCTCAGGACAGAAAATTCCTATTGGAATGGTGGCATTTGGTGATTGGTTAGGATGCTATAGGGTGGGTAATAGGGTGGGTATTTTACCTAATACCGGGTCAGGGAACTGGTCGGTTTAGATCCAGAGGCTAAGGGCAACAGTTGCTATGGGGCTTGGTTAGTTCCAGAGATTTTTATCCTGTGACCTTGGTACAGGGCTCCACACCTGGCTCACGAGTTTGGGGGTGGAGGGGCTTGGGGACCCAGGTTTTCTAGGTCTGAGGGAGGAGGAGACTAAGAGCCTGGTCTCTTGGTCTGAGGAGTAGGGGAAGGTCCAGGATTAATATGGTCTAGGAACTTATGCATGAGGAGCGCTGAACGCTCTGTCTTCACTCTCTATCTTCATTCTCTAGGTGGGGTGACCTCCCCAGTGGGCATCCAGGGCTGCGTGGCCCACCCATCCAGCACCTTGTTGAGCCGTAGGCAGACTATCGGGGTCTTCAACGTGCTTGAGGAGCGTGAGGGTGACGATAAGGTGGATCCGCCTCCCATTTTAAGTGGAGCCGCCCCTGGCCCTTCCCTGGCTTGGGTGGTGGGGCTGGGGCTGTCCCTAGCCCTTTGGTGTGGGGCACCCTCCTTGCTGACCCTGTTCCCCCATAATCCTTAGCTCCTGCTGACCCCTACACCCCACCTCTCCCTCTGACCTCATAATTCAACTGCCTTGGACACTGAATCATGTCCCAGTCCTCATCACAACCCCCCCCCACCACCACACACACACACACACACACACACACACACACACACACAATCTGATCTGGTGACAGCATATGGAAGGGCCTGGGAACAGCTGAACTGATCCTCTGAGAGGGTGGACATTCAATCAGTGGCCAGCTGTGTGTGATAATAAAGACACTGTCCTTTCCCCACATGCAGGGGTTTCTCTATGTGAGGGGAGGGCAGACTCCCAGAGATCTGGCACGAGGGAGGAGAAGAAGCTGGTGAGAGAGTCACCATCTCAGGTCATCTTTCACTGGTCTGGTCCACAGCCCCCATGGACCAGTTTGGGTGGTAGCAGAGTCTTCTAGGTCTTGCAGGCAGAAGTATTAGGGCCTCTGGGAGGGCTTTCCAGGCAACTCAGCAGTAAAGAATCTGCCTGCAATGCAGGAGACCTGGGTTTGATCCCTGGGTGGGGAAGATCCCCCAGAGGAGGGCAAGGCAACCCACTCCAATGCTCTTGCCTGGAAAATTCCATGGACAGAGGAACCCGGCGGGCTACAGTCCATGGCGTTGCAAAGAGTCAGACACGACTGAGCCACTGACCACACACATATAATGACTTGGGAAGTGAAGGTGTGCCAGACCAATGAAGCTTCTATTTTAGTAGCCAGCACCAACAGGGGGCTCACCCCACTTGAATAAATTGACATAATGGTTTGTGTGAAGCAGAGAGATGAGAGGATTGGCACCATTTCCTGAGGCTGATATCATTGGGTCTGTTATCATCCTAGGCTTGAAAGACTACGAAGTCATTACTGTTGTTAGAATCTGGAAGCGGGTGGTGTTTAGAGAGGGCTGCCTGACAGGAGCCATGATCTCAGGCTGAAAAATCCACCCAACCCACAACGACGCTACAGGGAGGGAGCTGGGGAATTAATGCCCCAACTTCACTCAGTGTCCTTCCTCTGGTCTCCTGTTGGGGCTCCACATTGACTGAACCCAGCTGGAAGGTGGGAGATCCCACTAACAGTCCCTACAGCACAGGGCAGGGGGAGAAGGGGAGAGAATGAATGTGAAGAAGGAAACAGCACAATCCACCCCTTGAGTCTGCAATACAGAAGACACACAATTCCCATCTGTTACTTAATCATAGAATCATCTTGTGCTAATGACAAGGGGTCACACACCCACAGCTTTAGATGATCAGTTCTTCATGAACCACAGTGAGAGGAAGATGGGGGAAAACCTATAACTGGGCTACAAAGGCCCTGACTGTAGCTGGTGGTGATGAGAACCACCTTCTTCTACCACCCTTTCTACGTTCTCTTACCACCTGCCAACACCTCTGGACATCACTGGGACACAAGTCTTCATTCTTAAGGGAAGTAAGTGTTCAATAGTCTTGTCTTTATTGGCTTTGGGATACTTTCTGCTGAACAGGGCCACCGACAAGTAAATATTACCCCCAACGCGCCCCCTGGCTCCCAAACATAGTCCTCCTTGACCCAGCAAACCAGCCTCCCTCTGGTGGTCACGTTCCCTCTGGTGGTCTCCTCCGCCTCTTGTTTCAGCAGCACGAGGAACACAGATGGCATGGGGGCGGTCCTGGCTTCTGGGTCATTAGAGCTCTGATTGGGTTTCTCACCCACACCAAGCCCAAGGTCACAGAGACCAGGAGCAAGAATCCTTTAAGTGGGTTGTCATGTGTGCTGATGGGGGGCACACTCCCTTATCCTCCCCTGTGTCATGGAGCCCTGCGTTCTGGCTCTAGGGGAGGTGGCACGATAGCCTGGCCAGTTTGAGACCTAGAGCATCTCCTGTTGGGCGGCAAGGTACCTTCTCCAGCTGGTGCCTTCATAAGCCATCATGGCCCTTCGACCCTTCTGATAAGCCAGCTGTGTCTGTGTAGTGGGGCATCTGGAAGGTCAGTGAGCTCCATGGGTGGGAGTTAATTGCCTCAGTTCCTTTGCCTTAAAATACATCCTCTAGTTGGGAGCAATACTTCATGGGAGGACTTCCCTGATGGTCCGTGATTAAGAATCCACTTACCCGTGCAGGGGACAGGGGTTCAATCCCTGGTCCAGGAAGATCCCACAGCCACATGGCAAATAAGCTTGTATGCCACAACTACTGAGCCCCATGCCCTAGAGCCCATGCTCCACAATAAGAGAAGCCACAGCAGTGAGAAGCCTGTGCACCACAACCAGAGAAAGCCCATGTAGCAAGGAAGACCTAGGGGCAGCAAAAAGAAAAATTTAATTAACTAATTAATTAATTTTAAAAAACTTCATGGGATCCTGTAGCAATAGAGCAGACATTTCCTAAGTCCCCAGATGGCAGTGTTGACAGAAGCACTGAGTGCAAGGAAGGTGGGTCAGCATCCACAGCGTGTGTTACCCTGTGGGGAGAAAGGTCAGTCTCGAGAGCCGGGTGTGCGTCCTAAAGAGTCCTGCTGGAGAAAGACATCGTAACAGGCTGAGATTGGCCTCTGCCTTTGTTGGGTTTGGGTACTGAGTGGAGTCCACAGCCAGGTCACCTGGAGAGAGTTAGCTCATTTGTTGTCACTTCATAGAGACATTAGTTAACTCACTAACCCAATAGAGTAGTAATTATATCCCCAGATGATTGAACTAATACCTCCAATCCTATATTCCCTGAGAAAAATATTGGCCCCATGAAGCCTTTCCCTTGGTCCTGTCTAGTCTCACACCCTTAGAATCTGTATCAGTCAGGGTCCAAGTATGTGTCAGGAACCACATGCTAATTTTCACAGGTGAAGTTTTTTGTTTTGTTTTTGTTTTGGCCACGCAGCACGCAGGATCTTAGTTCCCTGACCAGGGGTCAAACCCCAGTTAGTATAAAGAATCATTATCGGACTTCCCTGAGAGTCCAGTGGCTAAGACTCTGCCCTTCCAATGCAGGGGCCTGGGTTCCAATCCCTGGTTGGGGAGTGAGATCCCACATACCACAACAAAGATTGAAGACCCCAAGTGCCGCAACACACAATGCCTAGCACAACAATATAAATAAAAATAAATATAAAAAAACATGAAATATTTAGAAATAAAAGAATCATGAGGGAATTCCCTGGTGGTCCAATGGCTAGGGCTCTGAGCTTCCACTGCAGGGGACATGGTTCCATCTCTAGTCAGGAACTAAGATCCACAAAGCCAAAAACGAAAGAATCATTATCTAGCAACACGGGATGAGGATTAAGAGGGAATTAGTTACTAAGCCTAAAGAACACAGGGCTTTCCAGGTGGCGCTAGTGGTAAAGAACGCCTGGAGGATCCCATGGATGGAGGAGCCTGGGAGGCTATAGTCCATAGGGTCGCACGGAGTCGGACCCGACTGAAGCTACTTAGCACATGACAAAGATAAGAGATAAAAGATAATAGTGGATCTAGGGAGCCATTTCCATACTTGGGGCCAGAAAACAAGCTCTTCAGCCTGCAGTGTCCCTCTACCACCCTCTACCGGCAAAGCCTAACATTGTGCCAGGAGATGATGAAAATTGCTTGCAGGATCCAGCAGGGCAATGAAGAGTGGATCTGGAGCTGAGAGGCCATAACTGGCACAGAATCTGCTCATACACATGCTCTGGGATTCCTGCCTGTGCAAACTGGTGAGGTTCTCTAACACTCTCAATGTGTGGCATGTTCATGCCAGACCAAGTCCTGTGCTTCTTTGGACTACATTAGAAATTCATTCTTGTGGGTCTGGAGGAGAAGCAGTTTACTATGAGTGGTGTCTATCCCACATCTGAGGGTCACACTCCCTTAACACAGACTGGCAACATAGAACATTTACCTGGCAGTACATCTCTGCAACCCGTTCACTCAAGTCTTAGGCTTGGTTCTCAGCTGTATCTGCCCTGTGACTACTGGAAACAAGAGATGCTCTGCCAAGGGAGTTTTCTGATTGTCCATCACATTTCCATTTGGACAGTCTCATCTTTCCATTGCTCCTCTTTCCCCCTTGTTTGCTCACTAGGGTCATTCGAAGAAACCAGCTCACTCCCCAATCAACCTGTGCACCACTGTTGCCATAGTAACAAAGTGCCACACCCACTTCAGCCCCCAATACCTTGCTTTCCATCTGCACTTCTTTCACTGCTACCCCAGTGATAACTGGACCAACTATGAAATTGCCACAGGACTTCTCTCACCTATGCCCTATCTTTTTCCATCAAGGTGGTCATCCCTGTGCCTCTCCCATGTAGTGGAAACCTAATCCCAGAATACAATTTTGTTTGTCTGTTGCTGGATGCCACTGCTGATTCTAATTACTGAATTGGTCAGGGTCCCGGCTTCAGGTTCAGTTGCTCAGTCGTGTCCAGCTATTTGTGACCCTATGAACTATAGCCTGCCAAGTCCTCCAGGCTCCTCTGTCCATGGGATTTTCCAAGGATGAATACTGGAATGGGTTGTCATTTCCTATTCCAGGGATCTTTCTGACCCAGGAATTGAACACTCATCTCCTGCATCTCCTGCATTGGCAACAGATTCTTTACCACTGAACCACCTGGTAGCAGGAAATAAATTGTTCACCCAAGTTGGATAACTTGAATAGAATTTATTAAGGGAAGCGCTGATTACAACTGTTAATATTGGATCCAGGAAAACCACAAAGGATGGTGCAGGAGTTGGGAGTAATCATATTTAATTTTATTTATTTTTGGCCATGCTGCACAGCTTGCAGGATCTCAGTTCCCCATCCAGGGATTGAACCCAGGCCATGGCAGTGAAAGCCCAGAATCCTAACCACTAAGCCACCAGGGAACTCTTTCATGTATTTTAAACATATGATTGCAACAGTATATAACAAAGAAGATTGCTCTGACCACAAATGCTCTACATCTGGGAGGTGCCATGCACTTCATAGATTTATAACCGGCATGAAAAGGCCCAGTACCGAAATGGGGGAGAGAGCTCCTTTCTATATAAATCCATACTTGAACACAAAGCCACGTACACTCATGGTGTGCTGGTAAACAAACAACTGCCTCCCTGAAGGGAGAAATAAAAGCTCTGATCTGTAGCATTTGCCAGTGTCCTTGGTGTAAATGCTCCCACTGTGGCTGATTTCAAGATATCATGATGTCCCTGCCTATGGAGTTGGGAAGAAATGACCATGCAGGAGACACAGGTTTGATCGCTGGGTTGGGAAGATCCCCTGGAAGAGGAAATGGAAACCCACTCCAGTATTCTTGCCTGGAGAATCCCATGGACAGAGGAGCCTGGCAGGCTACAGTCCACGGGGTCACAAAAGAGTCAGACATGATTGACAGACTGTGTACACACACACACCGTACAAATACAATAGTTATAACCAGCCTCGAGAGCATAGGTAATAGTAAAATAGCAGAGAGAGAATTTAGGAAGTGATGATTTTTGAGTATTTATTACCTTTGTTTTAAAATTTTTTGTTATTTATGGCCATGCTGGGTCTTCATTGCTGCAGGCAGGCTTTCTCTAGTTGCAGTGTATGTGCTTCTCATTGTGCTGGCTTCTCTTGTTGTGGAGCACAGGCTCTAGGGTGTGCGAACTTCAGTAGCTGCAGTGTACAGGCTCAAAAGCTGTGGCACATGGGCTTAGGTGCCCTGAAGCATGTGGAATCTTCCCAGACCAGGGATCAAACCTGGGTCCCCTGCATTGGCAGGAAGATTCTTAACCACTGGACTACTAAGGAAGTCCTACCTTTGCTTCAATATAATTTAGTTTTAAGTTGACAAAATTTCATTTTTAATAGTGGCTGTATTTAGCAACTGGCTTGAAAAACTCCTGAAAATTGACTCTCATGAACCAGGTGGAGTCAGTCCCAGCACAGCATGGCCCACACCCCAGAGAGAGCCAATGAGTATGCACAAATGCTCTTGCACACCCTACCCTGAGAGCCCTAAAGGATCCCCTGAGCTCTCAATTCTTTAAGAATAGATCCTTATTCTTCCTTCCATCTCTAAACCTGTCAGGGTAACCTCACCCAGGGGGAGTGGGTAGGGGAACAAATTTGCTCACTGCCGGAAGCATGGGCACCTCAATATCCAAGATTTGTGGTATGTGAGCACTGAAGCCATCAACACTGTGGGTCTCCCTATTATGTCTTGAGCAGTTACCCAAGATGACCAACACCTACAATTCCCAAGATGTGAGAAGGATGGGGACTTCCCTGGTGGTCCAGTGGCTAAGTCTCCACCTCCTGGTGCAGGGAACCTGGGTTCAATCCCTGGTCAGGTGACTAGATTCCACATGCTGAAACTAACAGATCCCATGTGTGCTAACTAAGACCTGGCACAGACAAATATAAAGAAATTTAAAAAAAAAAAAAAAAGAATTTCTACTGAGTTACTGATGGCTTTAAAAACTGAACCCAAAGAAAGATGTACTATATTTATATAAATGATTAACATTTTAAAGCAGCACTAGCTCTTGTTAAAATGTCTGCTTTTAGTTACTTTATTCAGAGGTGGTTTGGGGCCATCTTAACCATGCCAAAAGTTAATTTAAAACACACAAGTAAAATACCATGTCTCCCTACCGGGGCTAAGTGAGCAGACACAGGCAATTTACTTTAGAATAGAGTAGGGGTTGGGGGGAAGCCCTTTATTTAAGCTTGTGCATTTGGGTGCAAACAACCTTCCAGGGAGAAATACATGGAACAATGTCCAAAGCTCACACAGAAAAAAAGTCTTCCAGCCTCTCAATTCCATGGTACTTAGCTATGGCAGCCTCAGCAAACTAATTAACAGGCCAATGTGTTATTTAAGATGACCTTTACTACAGTTGCTAGATGTCAAGTATGGAGGTAGGACTGAAGAGGCAGGGTGAGTGCTACTCAGAGGCATGGGAAGGGATGAGGGTCTTAAGATTCTGGAGCTCCAAGCAGGTGTCTATGCAGCTTCCAACCACCCTCTCTGCCCTCCAGTTCCCCCTAACTCATTGGTCCCATACTGGCAATGGTGGCCAAGATCTGAGACCTTGCTCCAGACCTATAGTTACACAATAACCCAGGAAAACCACATATTGCTACAGATCAAAAGAGGTGAGTTCTGGAGGCCTGAGTCCAAAAGAAGGGAGTGTGGCTCAGATTCCTGGGTCCTGAGGGACTGGGTCTTTGGGCCAGAAGGCTCTCTTACTATGTATATTAACTCTTTCTAATAGTTACATGGATAACAATATTAATAATTATATTCTTAATGTTAACAGTCCCCAACTGGAAGCTTTTCATATATTTTCACATAAAGTTAAGAGTTTCACCAACACCATTCTTACTGTGGCATTTTCTCTATGAAAAATAAATATTCAGTTATACCACAAAACTCACAGAAACAATATCAAGTCTGAAAGAACACATGGCATCTTCGTTACATCCAGAAAACTTATATGTAAGTATACATATATGTAAAAAAAAAATATATGTAATGATTTCCAGCCATGAACAAGAAATCTGAATGATTCATGATGTTCATAATACTGACACCAATATGCGGGTTAGCTACAATGGCATTCTGCCGTTCAGGGTGCCAGAAATAATGCTGAAGCCAGCATCCCTCTATTCAGTCTTCCAGAAGACCACGGAGGAGGCTGGTGCCCTGGTGTGTACAGAGGATGAGACCTGGGCTGAGCAGGAACCACTGCAAGTGAAGAGTGAGGGGACCAAGTTGACTCCTGACAGATATGGCCACTGGATGGATGCTGGGAAGGGGCCAAGCTGGTACCATGAGAGGAATTTGGGCTAGGAGAAGAGTTCGGGGGATGAAAGCCAAAGGTTTGCCTTCCTAATGCGGCTGGGGAAGTATGAACTCTATAGAACAAACTGAAAAGTTTAAGCAAGGTCATTTGGGATGCACCGCCCCAGCACTGAGCTGGCCTAGCACTGCCAAGACCAGCGAGTTCTCGGTCCTCCAGCTTACCCGCCACTCGCCATTCTGCGCATGTGTACCTTCTAAGCCGGTCAGGGATAGGCCAATGGGGTGTGGCGTTCCTCCAGGCTCATCCAATAAGCTATCATACGCTTTCGTGTCAACCAATGGGGCTTCGAGTGAGCTGTCGGGTGAAACAGGTCCCACCTTCTGTGCCTCAGCGAGCTTGAAGGAGAAAGACGGGTTTGGAGAGTGTGGCGTCTCAGGGCGTTACTTCAGCACCAGTATATTCTTGTGAGATTATTTGGAAGTCAGGAGGAATTTTGGTCCCTTAAAGGGAAAAAGAGGGGCTGGAGACCCAGTTTCCAGGTTCCTGGGTAAAGATAAGGCTGGGGTGGGATAAAGATAAGGCGGGACTCCTGGAGCTAGTGGGGAGAAGGCTGGAGCCTTGCGCTCGTTGATCTGAGAGGGGGAGAGGCTGGGTACCCAGAATCACGCGTCCTGCCAGAAAAGGTGGCTGAACCCAAACTCCTGGATCCTTAGTTAGGACCAGGCTGAGATCTCAGAATCCCGGGTTCAGATGAAGACGGGGGCAAGGAAACCTGAGCCTCCAGGGCATAAGTTTGATTCTGGACTCCGGGGTCTGAGGGACAAGGGGCCTGTAGGCCGGATTATGGCTCCAGAGGTTGGAGGGTACGGATTGTTGAGCTCGTTGATCTGGGTGGCCAAGTCTGAGAAGTATAGCTATGGAAACAGAAACTTGTTAACTAGTTAAGTTGCCCAAACTCACAAGCTAGATCGGGACAGACCGACTTACGAAGGCATCGTTTTATATATACCCGTAAACTCTGCCTTTTAGTCGGTGCTTGCTTAGATTTTATCTTATTCCATGTGACTGAAAAGCTTCCTGTCGATGTCCATCAAATCACAGATCCTGCCAATTCTTCCAAATGTCTCTAAAAGAAGCCATGGGAGCCTGTCACTTTCAGGGTCTGCTGCTCTTCTTTCTTGTAGGAGCTCCGACCTTGATCAGTATGTATTGGAGCTGTGGGGGTGGGGGAGGGCGAGGGGAGTGGTTGGGTCAAGGGGGATGGATTTCTGGTGAAAAAGGAGTGGTTTGTGGCCCCGGCAGAGGAGGACAAGTGCTCATCTTTATCTCCTTTTCTCCCCAGTGGCACAGAAATTGTTTTGTCAAAAGGGTACTTTTGTGGGTATCCAAGAGGATCGAGCAAACACGTTCAACTGGACCTCAAAGAAAGTTGAGACTTGTGACAATGGGGCATTGTGCCAGGAAACCATCCTGCTGATCAGAGCTGGTAAAATAAGAAAGGGGCGATTGGGCTGGCGGGGGCGGGTGAGGGGGGCGATGATTATGTTCATGTTAAGACTGTTCCACCTTCCCTAGGCCAAACAGTAGCGTCCCCACCCACTTTCTTTCCTTTCTGTCTCACAGCAGGGACCAAGGCAGCTATTTTGGCCACTAAGAGCTGCAGCTTGGATGGGACACCGGCAATAACATTTATCCAGCATGCTGCAGCCCCGGGCCTAGTTGCAATCTCTTACAGTAACTACTGCGAGGATCCCTTTTGCAATAACAGAGAGGGATTATATGATATATGGAGGACACAAGAGACTGAAGAAGGTACCCTGTGAGGGAAGAGATGGGCGCTAAGGAAAACTCTATACACTCCTGAAAAGAAAATGGGAGGCTTCCTTCTTTGTGTTCTTACTTGATTTAGGTTCAAGTGGGCCATACACAAAACGACCTCAGAACTTTTGCTTGTCTCTCTTTTTCTAAATTGTCACCTCAAGATCTGTAAACAGTACTCCAAGCAGAGGGACATCAGTGAAGGCTGCAGTGTAAAGTGGATTTGGGGTTTATTAAGCAATAAGATGTCAGTGGAGGTTTCTGAGCAGTCTGGTGGCATTGGTCTAACTGCTCTGGCTTCCCCATTGCCACATGGCCACAGCCCAGTTCCTGCATTTGTCCTCAAAGTCTACAGTAACCTGGCCACACCTACCTTTTCAGGTCATTTTCTTCTCTTCCCTCTCTCATTTATTGTGTTTTAGCTAGGGCAGGATTCAAAATATTTAACAATGGAGATGGTACTGGCCAATCAGAATGGATGCTGGCTATAAAAAACAGTCCAGCCCTACCTGTCTGTGCCTACCAACTGAATATCAACATCTGGTAATTTCTCACAATTCCCAAATCCACCAAGCCAGCTCACACTTCCAGGCCTCTGTCCTTGCTGTTGCCTTTTTTACCCTCACTCAACCCCCATTTCACACAGCTAATCTCTGTTTTTCCTCCATCTCAACTGAGGTATCTGTTCTGGGAAAAAAAATCAAATTATTTTAGGTAATTAAGCATTCTTCCATTTCTTCACTACCGTACCTTGGCCAAAGTGCCCACAGAGTTGTGTGGTGGTTAATTACTTACATGTCTGTCTTTTTCAGGACAATGATCCTAGATGGCAGGAACTGTGTCCTTTGCGTATCGGTACCTCCACACCTATACACAGTTTGGAAGTCATGTTGGATTGTGTTCTGACAGCACAGATATCAGTTGGAGAGGGATGGGGAGATGGTAGTAACAGGCCTTGAGTAGAGAGGCATCAGCAGGAAAGACTCGAGGAAGAGAAGGCAGCAAAGAGAGATAACTCCAGAGGCAGGACACATCCTTAACTTTCTGTCTCCTCCCTCTTCAGAAACCCAAGGGACAACAGGCCTCCGCTGCCCCACCTGTCTGGCTCTGGGATCCTGTTTGAGTGCTCCTTCTCTTGCCTGCCCCAACGATACAGATCGATGCTATCAAGGGAAACTTGAGGTCTCTGAAGGTAAGCTGAACATCTGATAGTTTCAGAGGCCAGAAAACCTCAGGCATCTGAGTGTAGCCTAAGAGGTTCTGACACTGAGTTCCAGGAATGAGGTGAGGACTGGATTCCTCTCTGATTTCCTCAAACATCTATGTGTCTCCCCATCCTTGTTCCATAGGAAACATCAACTCAGTTTTGGAGATCAAAGGCTGTACATCCATCATTGGTTGCAGGCTGATGGCTGGGGTCTTTAAAGTGGGACCCCTGTGGGTGAAGGAAACTTGCCCCTTCAGGTCCATCTCGGCCCGAAAGGTTGACAGTGGGGCCACGTGGTTTCACACTTCAGTTTGGAAGTTAAAGCTACTGCTGATGCTGTTACTGCTTGTCCTTGGAGGGAGTGCTTCTGGTCCCTAATCACCTCTTCAGACTGGTCATCAGCAGCTTGAGGAGCAGGTGGAGATTTGAAGAGCAGTTCCTGTGAATGTATTTGACATTTCTAATAAAGTTTCTGCTGTAATTTGTATATGCCTCAAGACTAGAAGTGGTGTTATTATGCTAAGAGGGTCCTTAAAATTCGTGCTGTCCAACCCACACATTTGCAGAAAGGGAATCAAAGATCTCAAAAACTTGAGTAAATTTCTTACACTTACATAGCTATGGACACAGCCATAAAGTCTGGTATTCCTTTCACTGTAGTAGGCTTCCTTCTCTTGGTGGCTAGACAGGAAACTAACATTATCCTCCTCTAGAACACTCCCAACCCAGTTGTAAGGCCAAAATCATGTGCTTTGGGGTTCTAATAATTCCCGGGGAGGTGTGTCAGAAAAAGCAGACTCCAATTCTTCAGTTACAGTGGGCCTTGTCTCCCCTATCCTGTTTGTTCCTTGCTCACTTTGCATCATTCCTTTTCAACTCTGCTGCCTACTTAATGCCTCCTCAGTGGACAGAGAGAACTTTGGACGGAGCTAGGGCTCTGTAGGTTCTGGTCAGTGTGAGCCAAACAATAATTTGGATGGGGAGATGTTGTTTTTCAAATTCTTACGCTCTTTTATTTATTACTCAAAAATACATAAAGTCTATGTTATTGTAAAAGACCCCAGTGATACAGGAGCTGTATAGAGCAAAGTAAAAGGTAGAGTAAAGAGAAACAGACTTTAAAAAAAATTTTTAAAGCAGCTTTATTGAGGTTTAACTGACATACAATAAACTGCACTGGAGGTGGGAAGAGAGACTTTTATTGCAAACTGTTGACCCCTCCCACAAAGGACGGAGAGCCTGATCACAGCATAGTCCAGCCAAGTTCTTTCTAGAAAGTTCTCTAGTTCTAACTAACTTTTGAAGTTAAAGCCTCCCCACATAAGTTAATATTTTATCTTTGTTCTTAGGCGTGAAGCTCTCTATTGTGTCAGTTTGGTAAATCTAAAGAGTGAGAAGAAACACCAATAAAATTTTAACTTAATGAGGGGACATAGAAATGTGGGAAATTACAAGCATTCAGAGCCATGACTGGTAAATACTATTCAGGGTAAAACACAAAATCAGAAACAAACCAAATAAATCAAAAAAGCCAAGCAGATGTTTCCCATAGGACACTTGTTTCTTTTTTTTTTTCATGATTAAATGTTTTTATTGTCACATTTAACTGCTTTGTCAGATATACATTGTAGATTTCAGTATGGCATAAAAATAAAAATATTTTCCTGAATGTCAAAATCTGAACAGAGGAGATGGCGATGGCACTTAAAAAAACAAAAATTCACACTGGTGCTGAAGCCACTAGAAGGTAGCTGGTAAACACTGGAACACATTCGCAGACAAAGCGGTCTGAAGTGATGTGAAACTCGCTCAGTCATATCTGACTCTTTGTGACCCCATGGACTATACAGTCCATGGAATTCTCCAGGCCAGAATACTGGTGGGTAGCCTTTCCCTTCTCCAGGGGATCTTCCCAACCTAGGGGTCAAACCCAGGTCTCCCACATTGCAGACAGATTCTTTACCAGCTGAGCCACAAGGGAAGACCTGCAACATTTCAAATCAAATGGCAGTGGTATAAGGCCAATAAAACTGGAGAGTAGGAAGATACAGAACCTATTGAGTAGCTACCTGAAAAATGGCAGTTTGAGCATTTAATTTCCAGTCAGACTAAAACTTCTTTCTTACAAAATAAAACTACTTTTTCAGAACCTGGATTTTAAGCCTTTTTAACAACTTCCTTATTCTTACAGGTTGTACTTAGTCCAAAGAAAAGGCAGTTATAATCCATGGCATTAGCTTTGTGGGCTGACCCTGCCACAAACGGGGGAGGGGGTCTTGTCTTTTCCAAACCAGGAGCATGTCATACTCATGAACATCTGTTCATGAGAACGTCACACATTCTGGGCAAAACTAGAAAAGAAGCAGTAAATAAAAATGTTAAGTGCATCCCCAAGGAAAGTCTCTACACATTCCACAGCTGTATGCCAAATGGTAACTTAAAAAAGTATGGTTATTCCGATTGAAAATGAATCTGTATTCAATAACCAAGCTTTCCAAACAGTTTGTTAAATGTCTTTCTTCCACAAATAAGACTAACACTAGGATTTGTCAGAAGATCTACACAAGTTATCTCCTTTATGTACGAACTTGGCTAAATCCACAGTGTCTGGAGTCTATTCCTCGTAAAACTCAGGCAGGTCTAGAACATAACTCCTGTTATACTGTTGTGGGTCCTTCATTTAAGACTCCAAAACAGAGGCCGTAAACATGGCTAGTGCAACATAGCAGTCACTGGAATTCCCCAAAAGAAAAATAAGTAATTTATTTTATGACATACTTATTTGGATGATTACTTACTGGTAATTAGTATTCATACTTTTTTTTTTAAGGCAACCATTTTAAGTGACAATACATATCAGGCTAGTAGAAAAAAGTGGAAACAAAATCCCCTCTTTTGATCTCATAAAGTCATGCGGACAAAAGAAGGTACATCTGATTTGTTCCAATCTTTGAACGTTGCTGCTAAACTAGTTTTCCTTTGAAAAAGTAAATTCCAAGGCATGATAGTGCAAGAGGTAAGGTTTTGGTTTATAGAACATTTATAGACTAATTGTGCTTAGTCTCTAATTTCCAAATTATTTCAAAGAACAGAAACTGCATTGATAAATTTGTCTTTGCCTTAATTTACCAGTACATCATGAATTGCACCAGAATTTGGACAATTTGATTATCTTAATGACTGTTGTGAGCCTTGCACACTGCATCTGCAGGCGAGGACCCCACATGGACCCCTTGGAGGCTCCTCCAAGGTCTGTGCCCAAAAACTCTTGTCTTGGGGAGTCCAGAGATCTGAGTAAGCAGTTCTTCCCCCAGAGGAAGTCCTCAAAAACTCTCAATTAGCAATTAAGAAAAACAGGGCTAACTGGAGAGTTTCTTGCGTTCAGTTAAATCTGGGAGGTCTGAGCATTCCTGGAGCCCTCATGAGGATGTGTCATGGGTCAAGAATCCCTTGAATGTGAGTGTTCGCTATTAGAGGACTCTGTAGGGTCAATCAAATTTTCACAATCACTGTCGTCTGATTACTCAGCCCTGTCTGCATCTGCTCTGTGGGAAGGAGGGGGTCTGCTCCACTTTCAGGATATTTCAGTCCAGCACTGGTGGAGGCATAACTGGAGGAGTCCATGGCTTGAGGTCGAGGCATAAAGATGCTAGTTTCCATGTGAGAATGACTCAGAGTACTTTCTTGGTTATTTGGGTGAAGATCAGAATTAGGTGGAGGCGGGTCTGAGGCCTCTGCATTTCCAGGTGTACTTTGACCTTCTGCTGTGAACCCTGGATAGTGCTTCTGAGCGTTGAAGGTGGGGTCCACACTTTCAGATGGCATCTATCTTCTTACCGTTGCCTGCTGCAATCATCTTTCTTGTTCTTTTTCATTTTTCTTCTGAGTGGTCTGTCTTCTTAATTGGTTCACTTCTGCCTGACAAGATTCAACAACTCGCTCTCTCTTTTCTACAGCTGCACACACTGCCTGCACTTTCTCCTGAAGCGCATTATAAACCTGATAAATCGTCCTGATGTCTTTCATTAGTCCATCCTTGTCAAAAAGTCAGTACCATGTTCTTTAATAATTTTGGCATAATTCTGAGACGTATTTGCCACTGAAGACACCTTATACTGTTGTTGGCTAGTATTGCCTAGATTGGGGATAGTGAGGGATAGCCTTTATACCTTCTATCTAAAGAGAACATATTCTAAACCATGAATGGAATTGTTGATTTGGAGATGAAGCTACAGGGGAGGAAGACGAGGTCGGCCGCCCCGAGGATGCGGGTGAGCTGCTTATGGGTCACTTGCTGTTTGTATGACATCTGTGGCTGCGTGTTTCACTAGAATCGGTACCACCCAATAACTTTCTTTCTCCGATCTTTAAGAAATCTGTCCAAGCTCTCTTCATTAACTTTGCTTGCATAGTCATAAAAACTAAAAAGTCTTGAACAAGGCTGATGGTTATGGATTTCAATTACTTGCAGAAACTCCATGTTGCTGATTTGGGAGTCACTGATGCTGAAGGTTTCCTCTTGCCTTACCTCTCCCAGCAAAAATCCTTCCTGAGAGCAATGGAAGAAGAGAGTTGCAGGTGGTCAGCGTAGCTGCTGGCGCTGTGGAAACACAGCCCTGAAGGGGTAGCCAGAAATGGAAGCCGCCATGATTGAAATCTGACACTGGTTTCTTAATGGCACTGAATACAGTTGCAGAAGACATTCCTGAGTGAATGAAGGAGAGCCACCATTTAAAAAAATTTGGCCTGTGAATTGTCTCGGTATTTAAAAAATCACCATATGCTAATAAGTTTGACTTGGCATGAACAAATTTCTCCAGCCAAAAACTCAAGCGTGCAAACTTTCTAATTTTTGAATGTAAATATATAAGCTATTCAAATGTATGATTTATTTTTATGATACTTTTGTTTATAACAGTCCCCCATTCTACCTAGTGGTAGGTAAAACCTAATCGGTTTGAGACTTCCCTGGTGACCCAGTGGCTAAGACTGTGCTTCCAGTGCAGGGAGCCCTGTTTAATCTCTGGTCAGGGAACTAGATCTCACATGCCACAACCAAGAGTTCTTATGCTGCAACTAAGACCCAGCAGGGCCAAGTAATTATTAAAAAAGAAGAAGAAACTTAACCTGTTTGAATAAATTGTTATAAACGCAGCCAGAGTTTTCTCAGTCATTTCGGATCCCCTGCTCACGCTTAGTCATTCAGTTGTGTCTGACTCTGCAACCTCATGGACTGTAGTCTGCCAGGCGCCTCTGTCCATGTGATCTCCCAGGCAAGAATACTGGAGGGGGTTGCCATTCCCTTCTCCAGGGCATCTTCCCGAACCAGGGATTGAACCTAGGTCTCTTGCATTGCAGGCAGATTCTTTACCACCTGGGTCATTGGGGAAGCGTCATTTCAGATCTAATAAATCAATTCAGGGCTTCTTTTCCTTTCCACTCTCTTTACCCACAGCTTTGCAGTAGTGCTGGTGGGAAGAAGGTGACTGCCTAGTTTTCACCCCTCACGCTGCTGAAGTTCAAGTTCTTTCTGATGTCTGGTTCTCAGCTTCCATTCCTGCTGGCTTCCACTGGGAAGCCTTCGATCCGGTCTGGTGTTCATGGGCTCCATGCCGGCCCTGTGAGCTCTGCCATCCCTCTTAACCACTTTGGAGCCTCTTCCAACTGCTCTCAAATCCCACTGAGTTCCTCCAGGAATCTGAAGCAGCCTAGGAATCCCATATAATTAATGAAATTCCTCCAAGTTCTGGAGAAAAGAAAATTTCATAGACACTTGCTTTTTCCTAAGGTCTTTGGGAAAGAGATGGGACCTAGACCGTGGAATTTATTACCCACCACACACAGGCCACTAGCATACATTCTTCTCATATCTATTTTTTGTTTTTTAGCAATCATGCCATAAGCATTCCCTGCCAGTCCAGTGGTTGGGGACTTGGCCCTCTCACTGCTGAGGGCCTAGTTTTCAGTGCAAAGGAAAAAAGAGGAATGAGTTTTTCTTTCCCTTTGCTGAGAACAAAGAAGATAAACAGAACAGTGAACAGGCCTGAACATTCTTAGTTCTTACTTTGAAAGTGAAAACATTAGTAGTTCAGTCGTGTCTGACTCTTTGGAATCCGCATGGATTATAGCCTGCCAAGCTTTTCTGTCCATAGAATTCTCCAAGTAAGAATGCTGGAGTGGGTAGCCGTTCCCTTCTCCAGGGGATCCTCCTGGCCCAGGGATTGAACCTGGATCTCCTACACTGCAGGCAAATTTTTTACCATCTGAGCCACCAGGGACGTTTTTACTTTGTTTCTTATTTGTATGATTTCCCTGGTGGCTCAGATGGTAAAGCGTTTGCCTACAATGTGGGAGACCTGGGTTCAATCCCTGGGTCAGGAAGATCTCCTGGACAAGGAAATGGCAACCCACTCCAGTATTCTTGCCTGGAGAATCCCATGGACGGAGGAGCCGGTGGGCTACAGTCCATGGGGTCCCAAAGAGTGGACTGGACTGAGCGACTTCACTTTCACTTTCTTATTTGTAATCTGCAACTAAATTTTCTTTTCTGACCCCTAATTCTGCATGAGCTACATTTCACACCTACTATCCTTTGATTCTATGCTAATTACATCCTGTATCTGGTGCTTACCACTCTCTGCAAACCAACCCTTGTAGTTTTTCTCGTCTTACATATCAGAAAGAAGGCCTCTGTAACAATACAGAGAAGACAATGGACCTAACTACTGGGTCACCAGACTGCCAGAGGCTACCTGACGCCAGTCTTTGACTATTTTGAAACAACACAAGAGGAAGAAGACAAGATCCTAACACCTTTGATCCTCATCACTGACCCCTGATTCCGAGCCCTCATCTTGTATAAGCCCCTAGACTCCTCATGGTGGGGTGGGCACTGTTCTTGAGGCATGAGCCTAGTGTGCCCCCTCTGCCAGCTGAGAATTAAAGCCACCTATTTTTTTCAACTCTATCTCTGTATTTTTATTTCTCTTTGGTGGGCAGAGAAAGCCAAGATTTTGACTGCCAACAAACACTAGGGCCCAGGTTCAATCCCTGACCAAGAAACTGAAATTCCATAAGATGGATAGCTTAAAAACAAACAAACAAACAAATGAAAACCAATCATGCCATAAAGCCTTCATTCTTACACTGCAACTTAAAAATTCCATGTCTAATAAGCAAAAGTTAGGCCTTTGGAATTACATCGACTTCCATTTCAATTTACATGATCTATTTTGAAACTTAAAGGCTCAACATAAAGGTATTTTTGGTTCTTTGCATTTCTAGGGTAATAGCCTACTGACTGACTGGAGGAGAAAGGGCAAGAGAAGCAGTATAAAGAATGGGGGGCTTCCCCTTGGTCCGGTGGTTATGAGTTCATCTCGCAGTGCAGGGGACACTGGTTCCATCCTTGTTCTTGGAAGATCCCACATGCTGCGGGGCAACTAAGCCCGGGCGGGCGGAAACTACTGACCCCACATGCCCTAGAGCCTGTACTCTGTAACAAGAGAGCTACCACAATGAGAAGCTCGGGCACCGCAACTAGAGAAAGCCTGTGTGCAACAATGAAGACCTAGTACAGCCAAAAATATGAAAAAAAAAACAAAACACAAAAGAATGGGAATGTGGGCAGATAAAAGTGATAGCAAAATATAACCCTGCCATATGGGTACTTCACCTACCCAAATTCAGCCTCCATCATCACCCACGATACTCATATCTCCCTCCAGGGCTATGTTCATGTCCTTTCCTCTCTGAAATTCTATCTCCTGTTCCCACTTACCCACCCTGGAGGGTCCCACTAGATGCCTCACTGCAACTCCAGCAGATCTTTCTTGACTTCACAAGCACTGATCTCCCTCCGCAGAGCCCTAGCGTACCTGCTAGCTTCCCTTCAATATCATACTGTTCCCACACAATGTATAACCTCCCCAGACAAGGTAACGACACTTCAGGGACAGGTATTGTTTCCGACAGCTTTACGACTTAATAGCATCCATAAAATGTGACTGGCAACTTGATGTTATGGGTCTTTCAGAACTGCTTAGTGAAGTGAACCAAACTTCCACTGTTGGGGCTTGGTGACTCAGATGGTAAAGAATCTGCCTGCAATACAGGAGATGTGGATTTAATTCCTGGGTCAGGAAGATTCCCCTGGAGAAGGGAATGGCTTCCCACTCCAGTATTCTTGCTTGGAGAATTCCACAGACAGAGGAGCCTGGCGGACTACAGTCCATGGAGTTGCAAAGAGTTAGACATGACTGACTAACACTTTCACTTTTCACTTTCAAACTTCTGCTATACATGCACACACATTCCTCTCGAACAACAAAACTAGGGATTTCGCTGGTGGTCCAGTGGTTAAGAATCTGTCTGCCAATGCAGGGGACATGGGTTCAATTCCTGGTCTAGAAAGATCCCACATGCTCTGGGGCAGCTAAACTTGTAAGATACAAGTACTGAGCTGGCATATAGAGCCCACACACCGCAATGAAGAATAGCCCCAGCTCGTTACAAGTAGAGAAAGCCCACTAAAAGCAATAAAGACACAGTGTAGCCATAAATGAATAAATAAATCAAATGCAAAGGCTAAATAATAAAGCCCTAAACTCCGTATTCCTCCAATAACCCTCTCCAAAGAAATCTTTTAAAAAATGAAAGAAACAACAAAACTAATCACCACCAACTGCCACTGATTACCTGAAACTTGATGCTGCTGCTAAGTCACTTCAGTAGTGTCCGACTCTGTGTGACCCCATAGACGGCAGCCACCAGGCTCCCCCATCCCTGGAATTCTCCAGGCAAGAATACTGGAGTGGGTTGCCATT